TCTGTCTTTTCCATTCTCGCACACACAGCCGTTAGTTTGAGAACTAACCAAAGGAACGCAATCCTGCAAAGGAATCTTTTATTTGTCCCTTCTTGTGTCCCTGCCTTGTGGGAGCCCCATTCCAGGCCTGGAGAACCAAATCCCTTTTACAGAGATTTGCATATAGAAAAGAAAATAAAATAGGGAGACAGCCAGGCTTATCCTTTCTGGCTTCTGATCTTTGGATTTGTAACTGTAGCCCCTAAGTAGAGGTAGTTCCTAGGATGGGCCCCAGAGCAGGACAGGCCACAGCCTGCAGCTCTTGAGCTCTGCGCGAGCTGTGAGCAAGCGTGTCCCATGGGCTGATCCTCCGCCCTGTGCCCCGGGGCGGCTCTCGTGGCGTGCCGCTGCTGATCTGGGCTCCCCGTACGAGATCCTGGAGCCCGTGACCGCCGAGTCCTGAGCCAGGCTGCACAACCTGCTCTGCCTCCCTTCCCGCAGTCAGTCCCCCTTGCACAGCGAACAGTTTTCAAGGTTTCTTCCACTTTAGTGAGGAGTGGCTGTGTATCTTACGCCTTGGCTGTGATTCATGTGGGTCATAAGGCCAGGAAGAGCTGTCATCCCTGCCCCAGCATAGGTTATTTGCATGCATTGGTGGAGTACCGGCAGTATATAGCCAATGTTTAGATACCGCTAGGATCATTTTGTGTGAAAGTGATACGTTGAACTTTTTACAGTAGTCGCTTTGTGTTCGTTCCTGGCCCTGAAGACCCTGGTCCTGGTTCTATTTTACCAAGGTCAGTTTGCTTCACTTTGTCAAATTTTGGAATTTTGAGTTAAATAGTTAAAGGAGGTAAGAGTCTTGGTTGATACATCTGTTGCTATTTATTTTAGACCTCCCCTGGCTGAAAATATTACTGAGGAATTCAGACAGCTGGTGCCATTTTCAGTTTTCACCACGAATCCTTGCAGGTAACAGTGTAACTTACTGCTATATTTCTTTTTTTTTTTTTTTAATTTAATTACTAATTTGTTGATACATCTGTTGCTATTTATTTTAGACCTCCCCTGGCTGAAAATATTACTGAGGAATTCAGACAGCTGGTGCCATTTTCAGTTTTCACCACGAATCCTTGCAGGTAACAGTGTAACTTACTGCTATATTTCTTTTTTTTTTTTTTTAATTTAATGACTAATTTATGTGCAGATGTAATTTTCAAAAAATATGAATTTTGGAAAAATTTGTCTTAAATTTTTCAAATTATTAGAATTCCTCACTTGCATTAATTGTAACTAGTTTTTAATACATTAATAAATAAATTAGTGATGAAAGGAAGTAGTGCTAAAAGTTTGATAGCGAGTATCAAAAGCATCATGTTTTTTCTGAATCTGGAAAGAATGAAGGGAAGATGGGAAAGTATTATTTTAATTGAAATGTGCTTTTTCATTTTGCTATATTAGAGGGAGATCAACTTTATAATGCAGCTCCCTATCTTTTAGTTTCATCTCAATTTCTTTAATTTCATTAATGTTTCCATTTAGGATTCAATATTGCACCCAAGAAATAATTATCTTCCGTGAAGATTTGGTAAACAAAATGTGCAGAAACTGCGTCCGCTTCCCTAGCAGCAGCATGGATATTCCCAACCATGTGAGTGAGTTGCGTTCAGCACTTCTTGCTAAGGTCTCTTTGACTTTTTTAATCAGCAGGTCTGCATTTAGGGCGCTCTGATCCACGTTCTCACAACACGTTGCAAGAGTAACCAAGAGGGATTGTAGGAAGGATCTATACGTTTAGTATTATTACCTTCATTTCCATCTTGACGGGAAAATGACTGAAACTATGATGCTGACTGGTGGCATTGAGTCGTTCCTGCCTGTCCCACTGCAGGTGCCCTTGAACGCAGAACTCCCTAGCAGCTGACTCTTGATGTATGTGCACCAGCAGCGAATGTCATACCGCGAAACATTGATTCCTAAAGGCAAAGTTTAATACAAATTACTGTTTTTTGGAGATTTGATCAATTAACCAGTGACATTTGCAGTAAAGCAGCATGTCACTTTTCCAAAAGGTCATCTGCTGCTTCTGTCTTCTCATTTGAAGTCTTAATCCTGGTTTTGATACATCGCCACAGCGCTCGGAGTTGTGATTCTCGTTAATGAATGCACGGCAGGAGTTGATGGGACTTGCTGATATAATTGAATGCGAATGATCCAGGCAGTACTGGCTCATTGCAGTGATGGATGGAGTCTGTTTCTATTTATTTTATAGGGGTTTTTTGTTTGTTTGTTTGACTCAGAAACTTCTTTTAGCCCTTTCTTCCTTCGCTCCATCACGACAGCGCTCGGTTTCTTTGTGAACGTGGGGAACCCACTGCGGACACTGCTGCGCCTTGGCTCTGGTGTGCACGTTGGCATACGTGTACGCGTACGCTGCGAGCCATCGCTCCCCTGCACTCACACACAGCCTCCTCATGCTTGGAAGGGAAGGAATCCTGAAGGAACTGTACAATTACGTATTGCAACACTTTCTGCAGATAGGAGTATTGGGTTGCTTCTGCATACGTCAGTTTTTCTCTGCCTTTTCTGCCTGTCATTAGTTTTTTAATTCAGCCGTCAGTGTAAAAAGGTGAAGGAGAGAGAGGAATTTTGTTACTAATATTAGAATTAATAGTGACTTTAGGCCTCGGACAGTATTGTGGAATAACTGGGCCTATGCTTGGTACATCATTTTCTTTCAACAGCAGACACTTCCACCGAGTCGCTGTAGTGATTTTGGCCCTTTGGGGAAAATGGAGCCTAATGGCAGCTACATGACTGATTAGCGATAATAAAAGCTTGCAAGGGGCTTGAGGAGAGAGTTGCAGGAACCAAAATACCCTGGCTGGAATTTGCCAGAGGAAAAGGAAATGAAAGGGGGCAGCTGGTGTCTGGAGCAGGGCAACTCCCAGAAAGCCAAGGGAATCGAAATCAGTCAGGGAAGAGACTGTGTTTAGGCGTGGGTCTGGCGGTTAACCAGTACTGCGAGGAAAGCCCTGAGGAAAAAAAACCCCACAAAATAAAAGTTATGGCACTGTTGGTGCTTCCTGGGCGGGAGGAACAGGGGAGCAGATCCTGCGATTTGTTGGAGAGTCTGATCCATGAAGTAGTTTTGACATCTTCAAATGTTGGCTGATAAATTTGAGAGAGGACTTTGTGTATTAAAAAACCCGCACAATGCAACAAAAGAGGAGCTGGCTGCTGTTCAGGGGAGCTGCTGCTTTACTCTAGAAATCATCAATAATCAGAGGGAGTGAGATACACAAAAACCATTTCCGGGTTCAAAGCTCCTTTATTACCAGGGCATTAGCATCTGCAGGAATGAGTTTGACTTGCAGAGAATGGCTCGACCTAACTATTCATGTTTGTCTTGCAGTTTGTAAAGACTTTGCTGTCACAAGGACATCTGACGCCGCTTCCGCTGTACGTCAGCCCCGTGTACTGGGCCTACGACTACGCCCTGAGGGTCTATCCTGTCCCCGATATGCTCGTCATTGCAGATAAATACGACCCATTCACCGTCACCAACACTGACTGTCTTTGCATTAATCCTGTAAGATTTCCTTATGCCGTACCAAGATAAGGCGGGGGTGTGTCTCTCGCTACTTGTACAGTATTTCACAGTACACAAGTGTGATATATACGCTTTTCTTCGCAGGGTTCATTTCCAAGAAGTGGATTTTCATTCAAGGTATTCTACCCCTCCAACAAGACAGTTGAAGACAGGTAAGCATATTCCGTTTCTCATTGAAAAGGAAGCATCTTCTTATTTGCGGACTTTCTAATTATCAGGAGGAACACCGAAAATCGATTATATAAACAAGAGTGAATGTTCTAGCAGTTTAATGTAGACTTAGGCTTCATATTTAGGCAGTGTAAGAAATCCAAATGCTTAGAACTAGAACAATAAGTTTAGAAATGACAGTCAAATAACAATGATGAGACGTATGATCCAAAAGTAAAAGGCAAGATAGACTGTACTGTATGATTTTCAAGAATTGAGACCCAGCTGGGAAACAGATTCATTTCTGGAGGTGATGCTTGTAACATGGGTTAATTACACTTAGGAACAATTCTTGATTTGCTTTGTGATCATCACCAAGCCCAGAAGCCACCTTCATGCTTCGGTTTCATGTATTTTAAATCTGTACTTACTCATTCCAACGGTGGCCTTCCAACATCTGGAGAAAAGGCCAGCTGCAACACCAAAAAGTATCAAAAAGAGTCGAAGGGCTTACAGCCGTGATGGAAACGTGCCTGTTTGCAGCAAGGGTGGTAGAACCCCACGGGCCAAGCGCAGGCTTACCTTGTCCGATTCGGTTTCACGCCTTGCTGCAGGAGCCGCGGTGTGTACCACCCCGGGGGGTGTACCACCCCCCGCCCTCCCGAGGGAACCGCCAGCGCATCGGCCCGCGCAACCTTGCCTTGAATAGAGACCATGTCACACCGTGACATGCTTTAGGTCTTTAAATAGTTTAAAACATTATCAAGTCTTTTCTAAATCAAGAAATAGAATAATATGCTATTCACTGTGAAGTAGCTTTTTAAAAACTAAATATTGTTTTTGTTTGGTATTTTCAGCAAGCTTCAGGGTCTTTGAATTTCTGCGAGACTGCAAAAAGGGCGTGAGCCTTTGTAAAGCCAACTGCAGCGCTCACTTGAGATGGATTGATTTTTGTGATGCATTCCAGACTGTTTATAATAAACATCAAGGCCAAAAATGGTGTATAAAAATAACCTTTTCCGGGAAAGGATACCGGTGTTAGTTTAGATAAAATGTAGAGTCACGGTGAAGATTAATTGGCAAAGCGTAATAAAAGGCGGCAACTGGAGGAAGCAAATGCATGTGTATCAGAGAGGAAACATCCGTCTTTTTTAAAAAGGAGTTAAAAGATGGGGAGAATTTATCCAGTTATCTAGGGGGGATGCTGGCAACGTGGGCTAGGGTTTTCTCTGTGGACAGGAAGGGTCGAGGGGAGACGATGCGGTGCTATTTACCGATGGCAGTGTATAATCTGTTAGCGGACGGCGGCACGCAGGCAGGGCGAGGGGAGGCGAGGGGAGCGAGGACACGGTCCTTCGAAACTTCGGCGGGAGGAGGACATCTTGGTGAAGGAGCCCCAGGAAGGTGGGAAAGAGCCCAGGCCCGGCGGCACCGACTACTGCATCAGCAGTTGGTTTGCTTACAGCGGGGAGCTGCCCGAGCACCCAAACCGCTCCCTTTTTGATGAAACCAAGGGAAAACCTGCTGCAGCCACTCGCGGGCATCGAGACCGGGGGAGCGGAGTGGTGCTACCCCGCGGTGCCCGGCCCAGGTGTGGAGCAGGCCGGGCCCCTCGGCACCGGCACCAGCTGTTTTGTTTCACAGAGCCCTTCCCGCCGCGCTGCCATCGCCAGGAGCAGGGGAGGACGGCGGGGTAGGGGCCCTGGGGGGCCATCGGGGTGTGGGGGGCTCGGTGAGGCCGGGACGGCGGGCCCAGAAGCGGAAAGGACTCGGGCTCTGGGGAAGACCGGGAGGATGGTGGGCGCCCTCTTGTTTGGCGTCTCCACAGAC